ATAACAGAGATTGACACACAGTAAAACCTTAACAAGCTGCTCTAATCAAGCAAACCATCAGCAAAGAAGTTGCGGTAATGAGTTCAAGAACTTGACTACCGCTCCAAGACCCTTCTTGGTATCAAGCAGGACTCTTAGATCAAGTTCCGGGGAAACTTTACTTAAGAAGCTACGCTCCACAGGATGTAGAGGGCACTCCTTAAGAACGTGTTCAACTGTTTCCAGCTGTCCACATTCGCAGTTATAATTTCTCTCAGTAATACATCTCATTTGGAAATACTTTCCAATAGCACCATGACCCGTTCGCAGTTGGAATAACTTGCTAAAGGTATGGCGAGGCACAGTCCTCATGAATGGTTCCAGTGGGTTGGGGTACTTACTATTATACAACTCTCGTTGAGTACAAGAGTAGTATTGTCGAAGTTCACCTAACTCATCATAGTCTTTCTGCCACTCAGCTCGTGATGTACAGCGCATAGTGCTTTTCAGCTTCTGCAATGCTGTACGAGCTTTCTTGTCTCGATCATATCTTTTTTTCACTTTTTTGGTTACTAATCAAAAGCATTAACACTTTTTACTGCGCCAAATGCTCGTTTCAAGCAGTTATCTTGAATACTTCTAAACTTGTTTCCATCTTTGCTCTAAATTGCAAAGGTCCACAGTTTGATGCCGTACTCAAAAAGATGGCACAAGCCAAAATAAAATTTAGATAGTTATACCGCTTATGCCATTTTTTACACCACTGAATGGCATGCTCATAACAGCTCGCCCATTAATTGATAAAAACGTTTTGTTACTATGACTTAATTTGTTTTTGATTTGAATCCCTTTAAAATATTAAAAGCGTTAGTGGTTTAGCGGTAAAATTCGACGTTGCCATCGTCGAGCCCCCGGTTCGACTCCGGGCTAACGCAAATTTTTTCACTTCATACCATAGATAGATAGAAGATCTGTTTATTGTCCTTACATCACATAGTTACATCCTTCATACCATGTAGATGGAATTTTTTTTTTAGGTATGATTTGTTCAACGTTATTCATGTTTTGTAGATAGATAAAAAAAAATCTTGTTTATTGTCCTTACATCACATAATTACATATTTGAAATAATATTAATAACAAAGATATACAAAGAAGACATGAAATTCAAAAACATTTATCTCTATGAGACTTTGAAATTAGCGTTCTCAGCGCGCTTTAGGTGTTTCAGGCATTCGATGGCGCCAAATTCTCCATGAGATAACACATGTGCTAAGGGAAACCTGTTCGCAGCTGAAATAACTTTCTGAAGGTATTGCGAGGCATAGTCCTCATGAATGGTTTCAGTGGGTTCTGTAACAACTTTTGTGAAGAATCATTAACAGCGGCGTCTATCCAAGAGATTGAAACCTTTTGGTTTTTCAGGAACATACAATAAATTTTAGTTTTAGATTTTTTTTTTTTTTTTTCGTGGATTGCATCGAAGCTTTTCTCCGGCCTAAAACTATATGTATTAATAATTGTCCTATAGGCCTGCTTTAGATAATCCCACAAATTTTGAAAAATAAAAAGCTGCCTTGCTAGCTCAATCGGTAGAGCGTGTGACTCTTACTTTCTGTCCTTGTACAGTATTATAGTCATCACAAGGTTGGGGGTTCGAGCCCCCCGTAGGGCTAACTTTTTGTACAAATTTTTTCATACATGAAACAATTTCAGTTTATGAAGGCTTTGCTAAATATTTTTATTGATAACAAGTTGTTATTTTTTCTTTGTTGTTGGTTTTTTTTTTTGAAATAATTCAAATTCTTAATGTCATCATCATAAATAAATATGTAAGGGAAAACAGTACATATCGAAAAATCAAGTACGGGCTAGTCATTATTCTTCCCCCTTTATCATGTAATCAAGTTTTTGCAGTATAGATTTACTAAAAGTTTTATTATCATATAAGTATTTTTGTCTTTTTTTCAGTTGATAATAATACATGTATATACACTGGTATCATTATCGTTACCCCTTTTTTTTATATAAACTGAGGGTCGGTTTGGAAACGAAAAAAAAAAAAAAATGAACGTATTTTGACAAATTTTCATCAAATTATATATTAAAGCCAATAGATATATACCGTAGATTTATAAGAGTATAATTATCATCACAATATTGAAAAAAAACATTTTTGAGCAAAGTAATAAATTAGAGTAATAAACATTAAGAGTAACACTAAATAGTAGAATATAGAAAATAAATAGAGCAAGACCGAAAATAAATAAATAAATGAAATGAAAGACAATTAAATACCAAGTTATAATAGCAGAAATTAAAGTTGAAAAACCCATATAAGATACGAACTTGTATAGCAAGCATAGGAGTTGTTGTTTTTTGTTGTTGGATTGTTTTTTGTGAGCGTTCAATATAAAGAGTGAAAAAAAAAAGTTTTCTCAGCGTGACGGTGTTTGAGGTGCCTTTACAGAGCTTTGCAATGCCTGCTTTTTAGGCGATGGCGGGTCGCTGTTTGACTTATCATCATGGTCGCTGGAATTACTTATTGTAGAACCAGTCGATTCCCGGCGGCGACGTTTCTCCGAAGAGTGTGGTGCACTTATATCCGCTGCAGGTTTGAGCGCTGTCACAGCAGACACAACATTTGTATCTGTCGCAACAGCTGCAGTTTTGATTAGCGGAAACGGGGTTGCAAGATTTGGCGACACTAGTTTCTTTTTGAATGCAACGGGGCTGCGGAGACCCGCCTTTTCATGTCCCTTCTTTGGCGAGTTTGTAAGACTTGCCCCAGCACTTACTGTGCCGCTAGATGGAAAGCGCAAAGCTGGAAGACTGTGTAGCCCTGGCCCTGAATGCGACGACGATGTACTTTTATCCTGAAATGAAGTTGTCGTAGTAGCTCGTCTCGGGCTCTCTGATTCGACGGAATTGCGATTTTGTTGGTCCTGTAGTGCCTGTGATGCAAGGAAGCCGAGAGCGTCAAGACCGTTGTCGCGCGTAGTGCTTGTCGTAGGTGCTCGTGTGTTAAACAGCGTAGTCGCAGACTGTGGGGTGTTCAAAGCAGACGGCTGGTTTTTGCTCTGTAAAGACGGTGGTGTTACCGGTCGTTCACTTTTCAATTCCTGTTCATTATTATTCGGATCATTATCATAATCATTATCGTTATCGTCATTATATTTGACTTCAAAGTGGCGCGGAAGCAGCTTATGAGCACTACCTGGGGTACTGCTTTTTACCAGTGCGTCTTCCAAAGCTTCGCGATGGAGCCTGCTCTCTCGCAGTCGTTTTTTAAGCATCGCCACTTCCTTATTCTTTTGTTCGAGTTCTTTGTCATAATCGCGTATCCGTAGCTTGGCACGCTGCAATCGACGCCGGTAGGTATCAGAATCCGTTGAGCCTGGCGATGCAACACCAGATGCAGTAGATCTGTTACTGCCTGCTGGTTGATGAACTAGTCCTGACAAGTTTGACGTAGAGCCTGCAACAAATTGCGGTTCCGCTGCTGCTGCTGCTGCCGCTGCCTCGTTCTGACGATCAATTTGGTCAAAGCGGAGACGATCAAGCTCACGCTTAATCAGATGATTCTCAACCTCGTGTCGCTGAGAAGCCTCGTGGGTTTCAATCATAAGTAGCTGATTTTGCAGCTTGAGCTGCGAGGCCTGGCTGCGGTAGTATTTTATTACCTGGTCTGCGTGTTGTAGATACTGAGTTGCAGAGAAAAGAGTTTCCTTGAGCTGGACCAAAGTTTGTACATCAATCTGAGGTGCTGTCAACGTTAAAAACTGAGTAGGTATTTGAAACTCTGCGGCTGCGGCGGCTGACAGTGTGGAAATATTAGTCTTGGAAACTGTTGCCGAGGTTTCCGTAAAAATACTGTTTGGGTTGTTTGTGACACCTTGACTAGAGATTCTGTTACTAACCAAAAACGAGGAAGAAGCTAGGCTAGACTCGGGAGCTTCTGCTGCAGTGATTGTTGTCGTAGTCCCCGTTTTGTGAATGTTTGGAGTTGTAGTTATGTACTTGCTGATCTGAAACGGAACGTTTTGACGGCCGGATTGGTTCTGAGTTTGGGCAATAGCTAGAGTTGCGCTGTCCGAAGCTGGCAAAACAAGAGGACTGGAATTTTTTTCAGTTACCGGACTTGTAGCTAACTGTTCCTGAGAGTAAGAAACTGTACTTGTTGCAAGGCTTGGACTCAAAGACTCTGTAAGCAAGGCACGGTTATCAGGCATGGTCTGGTCTCGGTCGTAATTAGTCTGCGTAGCTGCAGCTGGCGGCGCCGACGCGTTTTGCAGCCGCGGTTGATTTTTATTATCATCCATCTTTAAAGAGATAAAAAGATAAATTTTAATTAAGAGAAGGTCGAGACCGTCAAAGATAGACTTGTGTTTACTTTATTGTTCAGAACTGGCCAGAGTGATGAGACGCAGGTTTGGACGTGTGTCTTTAGGCAGAGATAACTTTGGAAAGCAGAGTCTGAATGAACTAAGAAATGTTAATACGAAGGAAGAAAATAAAAGTTTTACCAAGAAAGAAACTTGCGACAATGAAGGCGCTGATGAACCTGGTGTTTTAATGTTTGTGATCTCTTACCAGTCATTTATTAGTAAAAAAAAAAATAAATAAATAAATAACGACGACCAAACAAGTAGTTAAATAAAACGGCGGTCGTGAGCCCAATACAACCAGAAATGAAGATATAAAAATAGAATGTATTTACCTGTACGGCTAGAACTGAAACTGCATAACTAGAATGGTTAGAATGGCTTTTTTTTTTGGTATAAAAGTTGGCCTGACCAGGATGAAAAAAATTGGCGAGGTTGGTTTTTTGGCTGGAGGAGGAAAGTAAAAATGAAATGGGTTGTAGACAAGTAAATTGCGAAGCGTAATCTGCAAATTGACTGAACTAAAAAAGAAAAAAAAAAAAAAACAATATGCCTAAAAAGGATAAAACTAAAAACAAAAAATATAAAATATATTGTATAGTTTTTATGGCATATTTATTTACATTTAATTCACAAGTTTCAAGTTTTATTAACCCTTGCCCCAACCTTTTAAGTCATAAGTCGTCTTTATTATGTGCTACGTTATTTTGGAGGCTCCAGCAGTTTTGTGATTTTTTTTTTTCTCTTTTTTTTTTTCTCTCTCTCCTTTCCCTTTTCTCTCTTTTTTCTTTTTTTTATTTCACTGCTGTTTCTAATAACAACACTCTACACACATCACACATACAGTTATAATGTCTTCCGAAGCCGCTGTTTCTTACGCCGCCCTCATCCTTGCCGACGCTGAGGTCGAAATCTCTGCTGAAAAGCTTTTGGCTTTGACCAAGGCTGCTAAGATTGAGGTCCAGCCTGTAAGTTGAAAAAAAAATTTTTCACATTTGTTTGGTAGAGCCAGTTTGTTGAATTTGAATAAACGTGATAGAAAAGACGAAAAGAACACCCCACGACAATCTTTATGTGGATTATTTATCTATATATTTTAATCGACCTACGGATTAGTTAGCGATCCTTATTTTTAATCTTTTTTTTTTTCTTCAATTTATTATATTTTGCCTTTTTTGGTAGTACAAATGGTATATTGTCAACAGAATATCATCAAATCTCATACTACAATTTTATAAACTTCGACTATTGGCTGCTCTACGATACATATCAATCAACTCAAACTATCTAATATTTTATCAGATCAATGTTTTTTTTTTTTTTTTTTTTTTAAATTGGATCTTTAAACAACTGATTTTAACGCGTCTTTCATTTTAACAATCTGGATCTTGTTCGGTTCTTATTTTTCTTAGTCTAATACTAACTTTTTCTTATTTCTAGATTTGGGCCAACGTCTTCGCCAAGGCTGTCGAGGGCAAGGACCTTAAGGAGCTCCTGTTTGCTTTTGGTGCTGCTGGTCCCGCCGCTTCTGGTCCCGCTGCCGCTGCTGGTGGTGACTCTGGTGCTGCTGCTGCTGCCGCCGAGGAGGAGCCCGAGGAGGAAGAGTCTGATGAGGACATGGGTATGGGTCTCTTCGATTAAACAGTTTCAATTTTATAATACGTATAATATTTTCTACTGTTTATGTTGAATTTTTGCAATGTTGTTACTATTTAATGCCATATTTATGTTACACCCATTCTTGTGATATCTGGAGTAAAGTGTAGATATAAACTGTAGGTATTGATAACCTGGCCTTTAAAAGCAACATATACTATTGAAAAAAAAGAATTTAAGACTGAATCATATGAAATGTTAATATTAAATAAAATATTTTGAACAAATGCGCTTTATTATCTGTTATTGATGTAAATCAAGCCGACCTGGGAGGCCTGTCACTCTAACTCACATCATGATCTTGGGCATCATGGTGATTCTTTCAATCTTGGTGAAAAGTTAGCCCTAACTCAATGTTTAAAATTAGCCCTAATACACAATGAGTTTACTAAAATTTTGATGTGACTGCTATATTCTGAAATATTCACGCATAATTTAAACTTTTGAAAGAATTAGGTCTTAACAAAATGAAAAGTTGACTTAAATATTGTATTATAAATCTGTGCTGTGTGTATTATATAATCAAGACTGGTACTGTAAGCCCACTACTGACCTATTCGATCATGTTCTCAAAACTAATTTTTTTTTTCTATGGTGTTGGGTTGCGAGGTAAAATTTTTTTAGTTTCCACTCC